GCCAGTAGAAATGGCGTAGGTGCTGAGCAGTAACCAGCAGATAGGGTGATCAATATTTCACTAACATCTGCCTTTCAGCAAGTGATTACCCAGTTCTATGTTTCTGTTAACAGATTCCCCTGTGTAACGTCTCTGTGGAATGGAACTGCTGCCAAAATGGTGGCTTGATAGAATTTGTCTTTCTTGCAATATTCCAGCTGAACTCTTAACACCACAATTGCATGAACATTCCTGACATTGGTGAACACTGCTGAAATCTTGGGTTGAAATAAAAATGTAGCTAACATGTTTAAACCAACTGCCATTATTTTTCCTATCTTAAATAGTGGACACCAAAGGGAACATTCCTATGTATTCTCAGGGTTTGATGTGATGGGGTCTGAAATTTCGAAGATTAAAGGAGCCTTGATCAGAAATCGTCTGCTGTTCTGAGGGTCCGGTACTCAAAAAAAAAAAAAAAAGTGGACCTCAGGTGGCATTCCTACAAGTGTGCACAATGTCAGACCTGATTTCATATCACTTCAACTCAATTACTAGTACAGACTTTTACAGCAAGGAAAAGTGTTCATATATTATGTTTTCACACATGGGCAGACATCGCTGCAGGCAACCAACCACACATTTACTGTGAATCCACAAAAATCCTGAATACATTCATTCTTATAAATCACCTCTTCCTCCACAAGTGAACATGCCATCCATCCATTGCAATAAAACAAGCATCTCTTTAATGGCATGTCACAACACGCCAAATCAAATTTTTCAATTATCAGAACTTGGAATCGAATCAGGTAACTAACGATCTGAACTTCACTGACAGGAGAGAAGGTGACTGCATGTGTTTTATCTGATCTGGACAAAACTCATTTTTCATCAATGCCAGTTTGTGATTTTATCTGACTTTGAAGTGACCTGACAATAACACAGATCTCCGTCACTGACAAAATGTGAACAGAGACGCATCTTAGAACATACTATATCTTAGACAACACCCAGTAATCTACTTATTGTAATGTTAACTAGTTCAAGTAGGCTAAAAAATCACTACCATGTGAAAAGAGCACCTTGTTTGAAGAAATATTTTATCTTTGCACTGTAGATTTCACAGTACTTACTAATATAATAACACAGCACAGCAACTCATGTCACCTGATTTCATCTTCCAAACATATGACAGTGGTAATATATGCTAACAAATAACAAATGCAGGTGACATGTAATATCTGGTTATTGGTATGTGTTAATACATATGACTGGTCTCATGGTTATTAATAACACAGAAACCTGAGAAGAAAGTCACGATTCTGACCACTTCATCTTTCTCACAGGATATTGCAAATCTCTCATTCTCAGGACCAAAAATATATTGGTTTTAGATTCTTACCAAGACAATGGAATGTTACAACTAACAAGTAATATATACATGGACTCCTTCATGCTATCAATTCTTGTGCTACCTAAAATACACTTCTCTACGGTGTTCAAACTAAAACCGTTCTTCAAGAATCTCTCCATATCAATTCTTTCTTCTCCTACTGTCTGTGTGGTAAGGTTAAAATCAACCATGCCCAAGTACACTTGAAATAAATCACTCCCACTATCAGGGCTGCACAGCACTTAGGTTCTGGAGTTCAGAAATGAATCTTTATGTCAATCTATCAGTTCACAGAATAAAAACTGCTTTATCAACTCTGTCAGAGTAGTCCTAGAACATGATCCATTAGCCTCAAACCATTTATCTCTTCTATTGTTTTAAAGTAATGTTAAATGTACCCAAAACCATTCCTGGCTTCTATTGTTTTGAGGCAAGGCTTTTCTCAGCAAACCATCTAGCCATCATGGACGGCCACTGGCAGCACTGGATGGCCAATATTTTCCAAGACGACTGAAAGGCTTAGGATTTTTTTTTTTTTTTTTTTTTTTTTTTTTTTTTTTTTTTTTGAAAAAGATGACTTGGACTCCCTGAAATTATTACAAGTGATTATTTTGGCGAACCAGTGCCCCCAATCCTGGGAAAAGCCCTGTTTTAAGGTCATGTTAAATATCCTGATTTAAAGTTATTCATCAAGAGAGGAAGCAGTTATCAATAGAGATTATTTATTTTTAATGTCGGTTTGACGGTTTGAACAATATCCAAGTAAATCTACAAAAAGTTATCAGTTTTGATGGAATTGTCAGGATAAGAGACAGTAGGGGAGACAGAGAGAGGGGGGAGAGAGGGTCACTGGACATATGTAACAGGGGTGGACAGTACACTAAATATGTGGACACAGACACTAACACTGGACATATGCAACAGGGGTGGACAGTGGACTAAATATGTGGACACAGACACTAAATACACACCCTATCAACATAACCCACAGCCCATGTTCAGCTGATCAATATACTACTGTTAGATCATAGCCATTATACACAGTGTGCTAGTATCAATAAAGGAAGAATGATAATAATAATCAGAACAGCAATGATATCTAATTTATTTGAACTCTTAATTTCAAAAGTTGGATTAAGAAAATTGTTGAAATGGCAAATTAGATGGAAGTGTGTGACTATCTTCACTAGAAAGTTATCAAGTACTAGTATGCTATTTCTACTACATAACGTGGCAGTGATCTTTTCAGATTACACACTATTAGAAGCTAAGTCACAGGATGTTCAAGACTAAGCGTGGGTGTTACAAAACAAAGTGAACGTCATTTACACATCGTGACTGCTGCATAAAAGCTTGTTGTCCTGTGCACAATGACCTAGCTGCTGCACACCACCCACTACATATATATCCTGAAATCAAATAAATGGGAATTTGGTCTACAGACTGATACAATAATAAAACGATGGGGAAAAGACAAGAATTCTCTTAGACTTGTGTTGCCTTCTGTTCATGGATAAAGACTTTAGGTTCCACCTTCTCTTTGCCTTTGTTAACACACATATTGCCCACTTCAATTTTCTTTATATACAGATATATAGAGATAGCAAATCCTGAACCAAATTTCAAATGTATATATATATTGAAGCTGAGATGAGGACACGCCACTCCACTCGGTCAAGACTTAAACAGAACATTTGACTGTCACTGTCCAATAATGCCTGTTGTTTCCTTTCAAATTAATCCAGAAATACCTGTTCCGCACCCTGTTCTATTTGATGTCATGCCTTGGGTATTATATATGAAAACACTGGTACAGTACAAAGTAAACTATTGCTCAAATATGACTACAAAAGGGGGGGGGGGTATAAAAAGATACACAAAATAAATGGGAAAATTATGTGTTGTGAAATTGATGAGACAAATTCTTCATGGATGCTCCAAGCAATGAGCCACAAGGGATTGCTCCATCTCCATCTCTCTCAGGCTGTCTCAGCAGACAGAGAGAGATAGAGAGAGAGAGAAAGAGAGAGAGAGAGAGATGAACAACTCTTAAATTTGATATTAGGCTAGCTAGCTGTTACTTTACCCAAAGAGGAATATTTCTCCTCTTCACTAACAACAATGCCAAATTTCTAGATGTCGTCCTAATAGTCAATTTCTAAAAGAGAATTGTTTTTTGACATCCATAATCAACTCAAATAGCCCAAGGAAATCTCCATGGAAGTTCAACCCTTGAACTGAGAATAGGGGAAAATCAATACTGTTTCATTTCCTTGATGGCGAATGCAAACCTGTTTATTTTTTTTAACTTTTGTCTTGCTTAACGGAAATCAGGAGTGAAAAATACCAGGCAACTGTGAAAAACAGATGAGGTCTTTGAAATAAAAATGGAATTCTTAATACAGGTTGTCAGTAAATTCACAACAAATAACTGCCAACAAGTTCCCCAGCAGGGATAATGACAAATGACTGTTATATTTGGACTCAATTCACCCATACTGAAAATATTGCAATTAATTTAAAATACCTGCCGCTAGCTGATTTAAGGTACCCTGGTATGTCTACTTTTTTTTCACTTTATCAGTTTTTTAGATTAAGAAAAAAGTAACTGATTTATCTAACATACTCTCTCACATTAAATAAATTTCAAATGAGATCTACTACACTTTCAAATACTAGAGGCAACGGACATTGCAATTCAGATTACTTCACTACTTTAGTTTCTGGTTTTCAAAGCATAACTCTACTGACTACTACAACACTAGCAAAACCCAAATTCATCTACTATAAATGGTATAGCATAAGATACTCCCAGTTTAACCAAGGAAAAAACATTTTAGTGCAAATTGTCAAAAATGGATGAATATATGGCGTGGAGGCCTCAGTTGTACACCCCATATCACTGTGATTATCTTCTGAGCAAAATGATAACTTCTATGAAATGTTACATAAAATACCTTTAAAAGATGTATAACAACAAAATAAATGTTGTTTCATCTAAAATAGCTAAGTTATCTCAGGGCTTGACACTAACTTTTCTCGATACTGGCCCGATATATCGCTAAATATTGCAAGGATGATTTGACACATGACATTTCACTTGCTCTTTGGGCCAGTGACCCCATCGATTCAATGGCCCTAGTTTGGTTTTCAGTGGCCCAGGGCCAGTGGGCCACCCTTAATGTCAAGCCCCGTATCTGTTGTATCAATTTTCATTCTTAGTTTCTCAGTTTCATCTGAGTAAAAAAATTGCTAACTCTCCCACCTGAAATGTCCTAAATTTCTGTCCTTGAAAAAGCTGATATCAAGTATATGAATCAGTAGTACTTTATATCACTGTTCACATGCCCTATTTTTGAAAAGTTGTGTTTACATGACAAGATAAAGGAAGTACTAGTAAACAAAACTCCAAATGATCTATCCTCATATAAAAATATGTCAAAAGTGGAGTTCAAAATTACATACGCTTAATTATTTTTTTATGAATTTATTTTATTTTATTTTATTTTTTTTTGTAGTAGTAGTAGAAAAACATTAAGTAAAGAGTTAATATCAGTTTTGAACAAAATAAAGTACTAGTAATAAGTATTACTTAACAAGAATTGTTTTCAATTACAAGACATACCTTTATTTATACATCTTCCATTCACTTCCTTATAGTTCTTCCAGCAATCCCCACAATATGATGACTTACTAGTAGGATTACAGTGATATCGGAAATGTTTATAACAGTTGAGAACAGATGGGACACAGCGCGGCCGCTCAAACTCCAGAGAGTTACCAATCAGTCTTGGCTCCTCGTAACGTTCACCTACAAATAAGCAAACAGTTTTGAAACAATTATTTTAGACAGAAAATGTCACTTTTATTCACATTCAGTCTTGAAATTTATTTCCCCATCTTGATTAGTCTTAAAATGAAAATGTTTTTTCCCCATACTCATATATATATGTACTGAGAATCTATTTTTCATTTCAAAAATTACAATAATTTATCATTTCAAAAATTACAATTATAAAAGGTAGGAAATTAGCAAGCATCATAATTACTAATTCGATAGAAAATAGTTGTATCACATAAAACTCTGATGTTCACCTAGCCTAATGTCTGCATGACACACTGTCACATGATAATTGTGCTCATTACTTCACTTCACTTCTGTAGTAAAACAAGTTGCAAACAGTCTGATACACACATACAATTATATATATACGGATTTTTATTAGTTTACCAATGTATGTAACAGTTATTGTTAACATGTCTGATGACACTGTCAGACAGAGCACTGAAACCTATAATAAACATCTTGTTGTAGTTGGAAGGTTGTTTCTTGATATACTAAGGTTACTCCCTTTCATCTCCAATGAAACAAAAAGAGCAATATTTGTCTTTTCTGAAATATTAACTTTTTCACCAAATATCACACTTAACTGGTAGGACTAACAAAACAGTCAGATCACGGAAGATAATTAAGCGTATTTGCCAACTGAATATATTTTATATTATGAATACTGATCATATCTCGTCTCTGCTTTTCTGAGAATCCATTAACTGAATTATAAAATTTATTGGGTTAACATGAAAATTGTTTTCTGTTGTGTCCCTTGTGTTATTACTTTAGGGAGCATCATATCAAACATACAATACTGGGTTAAGATTACTGCAGACATGGGCTATTTTTTATTTTTACAACAAAATTGGCTTTTGTGGGTATCTAACGATTAATATTCTTAGCAACAGGGTAAATGGTATACGTAAACCCTCCGTAAATAATTCAAAATATAAGTAATAAAGGTAAATACAGCTGCAGGCAAACAAACCTACTGATATATTACCAGCACGGCTGACAGAGTAAATACACAAACTGGGTGCGAGATTGAATGACACTGGCAAAACATTTTTTAATTCTGTACAGCGTCGAGAAAATATCTGTAAAATGACACTTGTTTTGATAAAATGTACAACTTACCTTGATTAAACGCCCTCCCATAGCATAAGCAAATCACCAAGAATGACAGAAGTATGAAGAAAGTGGAATACATGTTTAAAAGACTAATTTGTTACGATTACTACATACTATCCAGGCGACATCCTTACACGAACATATTCTCGCACAATATGGAACTTCTCGCGAGATTTTAGTGTGGACAATTTTCATTTATCAGGGGGAGGTGAAAGAAAAACATTTATTTAGATAAAAGTCAATGTTGTACAGTTTACCAAGAACCATGGCATAAAAAAGTGATAAAATTAGATAAATTAAATTAGTATATAATAAAATAACACATGTTTTCTCTTACAAAACAAACTGATTTTGCTTGATCATGGCAATGTCCTTATTTTCTCCCCTCCCCCGATATAGTAATATATTTACGTACCAAACGAAAACAAGCATGGCGACTGACAGCGAAGTTCTTTATGAGGTGAGGGGTTGTTAATTTGTTTTTCCAATATCTTACGTTTCTATTTCATCTCTGTTGTCATGTTAATCGTAGTTATACCGAATATTTCAATGTACTGAATTTTGGAACAATTTATGGGAGAACTTATTGTTGTAATTGGTACTGGTAACAATAACTTTAAAGAAGCTGAAAGTTTGGAAAGTTTCCTCTTCCGTGTAAATAAATAAGAATGACCCTTCTTAAATTGGGATAAACGACAATAGTTTTGGTCCAACTGAACCATTTATTTTAACCCAAGCTTGAAGAAAAAAATGCTACGATTATTTTTTTTTTTTCTAGTATTCGTAATCCTGTATGGCTATATTTTTAATCTTCTTGAGTGCAACATTCAGTTGTAGCTGGGTAGACAGTAATTATACAAGATACTGTCTTCTCCATGAATGTGCATTACATATCATTTACAATTATTAAGAACTGATGAAAAGCCAGGGGTTGTTTTCTGCATGTTTTGTGAAATGTGTTCATTTATTTTTGCAAACTAGCCTGGTTTATTGTATATAACATTCTCCTAAGTCTGGGATCTTGTGAGAGCACTTTGTTTATAGCAAGCACAGTTTGGAGTTATCTCTAACTGTGGAACATTTATAAAAAATTCAATATAGGTAGGAATTCCTGTGTACTTAGTATATAAAAAATATTTAGATAATCAAATATATGAATGCTAGAGAATGAAAGTTTCAACTGATAATTAGCCATTTGTTCAAATGTTACGTACTATCTCACCTTTTTATCACTTCACAATTTTCAGGGTTACTTCTATAAGCTGTGTGGTTATGACAAGAAAAAGGTCTTCAATGTTCAAAGATATTCATGGAAAGAACGCTACTTGATGTTGATCCGGAGAGGAGAAACTGCAACTCTTGCGTACTTCGACAAGAAACCAAAGACTACAGAGGAAACCCCAAGAGGTTTAAATAACTATATTCCTTCATTATATTCTTTTTTTACATTCTTTTCTATCAATTTTATATCATTTTCACTTGAAAGTACAGAGCATTAAGTTGAAAGTGGTAAGTTAAGAAAGTGGAGATGAACTTTTAAGAACCATTTTAAAATCTCTTTTTCTTAAAAATAAAGTTGTAAGATCTTCTCAGTAATGGATTACAAACAATCATGGATTACCAAACATAATAATAAAACATAAAGGAACAGAAACGTATATAAAATCCTACCTCTAGCAGTCCAATCTTAAAAGACACCACCCTAAAGGTGACCAGTTGATTGGGGACCCTGTATGGATTGAATTAATTTTCATAAACTTAAATTTCATTTATGTAAAGTGTAGCCTGACTATTTCAGATGCCTAAACATTTGCCATTATGTTTCACTTGTAACACTTGTTCAGCAGTACTTTCTTTGTCTTCTAGGTTCTTTAGACCTTCGTCCTTCCTTCAGTGTGTCAAAGATTGAGAAGAAAAAACGTCCCTTTGCCTGTGAGATAGTTGTAGGTACCAAAAAGTTGACCCTAGCTGCAGACAGTGAGCTGGACAGAGACTGCCTGACCTTCCATATACAGACACAGGCTAGGCTGAATGAGGACGTGGAACGTATGGGAATTTAACATTAAATTTATTTGAACATTTTGGAATTCGATTAAGACTTTTTAAAATTTTACAACATAATTTATAAAGAGTCTGAAATATATATATCGTTTTGTCATAAAAGGCACTACATTTTTGGCCTTCTGTTAGATCCATATGATTGCATGACTGATTCATCTTGAAGTCCCGAATTAAGAATGTCATCCAAATTGTATTTTGGCTCTGTGTAAAGGATTTACTTTTAAAAGATCACTATTGCAGAGTATACCACTGGCAAAATATTTGACTCTCTTGCACACAAACACATTCACAAATGATAGCAATGTTTCCCCCTTTAAGGAGGTTAATGAAGTTAAGTTTTTAAACACTTTCTTTGATTCAGATGAGTGTTTCAGTGTGCGTCCGGACGGTTCAGAAGACAATCGTAAAATAGGAGCTCGGGGAAGCATGTGTTACTTACACATATCACAGTGGGGGGTCACTTTAGCACTTCAGGTGGGTACAGACAATTCCTCTTTATAGTTGTACTCTTTTAAGTTATTCAAAAATTTCCACAAAACTGCTGTTGGTAACTCTGAAAAATAATGATTTAGTATGTATGAAAAGTTAGTTTGCTTTGTGTTTGAAAGTACATGTTTATGATTTATCATGAAAAAACAAAATGTTAGAATAAGTGATTTTCAAACATAAATTTAAGGTAAGCTTACCAATCTTTTCTCATTGTTTAGGCCAAGATTCAGTGTTACATATTCAAGGTAATTTACCTGACAACATCCTAGTAATTATGTTCCAGGTATCCAGAAGTATTTTAGCCCAGTGGCCACTGTCCTGCATCCGTTGCTATGAGTGTCTGACCAACAGCAAATTCTCCATAGAAACTGGCCGCCGGTCACCCATGGGTCAAGGTCATTATGTGTTCAGCACAAGACCAGGCCTTGACCACTCCATGTATGAAATACTTGACCAATTTGTAATGAAGGCCGCCGGACTTCTAGAGGTGAGGTTTTATATAAGTTTCTGTTCCTTTAAGTTTATCCCCGCATTTGTGGGACAAAAGTCGGGGATCATGTTATCCCGCCCGTCTGTGCGCCCGTGCGTCTGTGTGTTAGTAATTTCTGCTATCTCCTCCTAGACTATTGCAGGTAGGAAGTTGAAACTTTGGGAATTGGTAGACCCATCATCAGGGATGTGCATGGGCACTTTGGAATTTTAGTGCCACAGGGAGTTGGGCTGTCCCTGGGGGGTGGTTGATTCTAAATTCTTTTCACATTGTAATTTCTGCTATCTGCTCAAAGACCATTGCAGGTAGGAAGTTTAAACTTTGGTGATAAGTATACCCATCATCAGGGATGTGCATGGGCACTTTTGAATTTTAGTGCCACAGGGGGTTGGGCTGTCCCTGGGGTGTAGTTGATTCAAAATTCTTATGATATTGCAATTTTCACTATCTCCTCTTAGACCATTGCAGATAGGAAACTGAAACTTTTGGAATTGGTAGACCCATCATCAGTGATGTGCATGGGCACTTTGGAATTTTAGTGCCACAGGGGGTTGGGCTTTCCCTGGGGGGTGGTTGATTCTAAGTTCTTTTCACATTGTATATATATACATATTTTTAAATACCTTTGGATGAAGCAGTGATGTGTTTGTATGTGTGTGCGTACATGTATGTGTGTGTGTACGTGCATGTGGTAAGTGGTCCCTAGGGGTGAGGTGCTCTATGGGGAGGTGCGGGGATATGCGATGGCTACCATCGACACCATCTAGTTTATTATTGTGTTTGGTAATCCATGATTGTTTATAATTGATATAGCAGGAATTTGGAGTTAAATGGTATAAAATGAAACTAAAATGATAGTAAGTTTCAAATTTAATATTTTGAATTAGAAATTTATTGATAATTCAGAAAAAAAAACATGAATTTTGACATATTTTAGAGAAAACACATAAAACTTTGCTCAAGCTAACATTCAAATATTATGAATGACTAAATTTATTTTGGGTTGGCAATATCAATTATTTATATATATATATATACAATATGATTGTCTGTATCTAATATGATTACAGAGTGGTGTCACTGGACAACACGTGCTGTTAATTTGGTAGTACATAATTTAAAAAATGTATTTATTTATCTATAAGAAAATCAAATGAAACTGAGAAGAAAGAGCCTTCTTTGTGTAACTTTTATGTTTATATACAGACAGTTTTAGCCTACTCGTCAGATATAGCCCACTAGGATGTAGTCACCTTTTTCAAAAAGAATGTAAAATTTTAATTTTGTCAACTGTCGATTGCAGTCTGATGTCACATGCTTGAGGAAATTTTCATGAAAAACATCATGTTATGACATCTAATGATTGCTGCTGTAAAAATGAGTTTTGTGTTTGAAATTAATTGGGAAGTTTGACTTTATACAATTAAATTCAAGGTCAAAGTTGCAGTAAAATATCAGCTTCATATATTTAATTTATGTGCCACAACTTAGCGGCAGAATCTTAGTAACCTAAGATTTAAACCTGGATTTTTTTTTTTTTTTTTTTTTTTTTTTTTTGAAGTTGGTCAGATAATTTTTAATGATGGACAATTTTTTCAGGATTGCCCCATAATAACCAAATGATAATTTTGCTTGATTAAAAGTTTGCAGCATTGCTACTGTGGATAGTTTTTAATCTAGCATAGGTGTTCTTTGTTTTAAGGGGATGTAATTAATTTTAAACATAATAGAACAACATAAAGAAAATGGAGTCCAGGTATGAAAATAAGTTATGGACCAGTCCATAGGTAACCAGTGGCAGAGACACATGGCAGTGGGGGGGCAGCATTACTGAGAAGATCTTACAACTTTATTTTTAAGAAAAAGAGATTTTAAAATGGATATTAAGAAAGACTAGTTAGAGAATAAATGAAGCTGTATCAGAGAGAGAGACAGAGAGAGAGGTAACTTTGGGATGGATGTGAAGGAGGGTATGATGGGGAAATTACTTCATTGTGAAAAATATAATTGTCTGGACTCATCACATGATGGATTCATAAACTATGGACAAGTTTTGTCAGATCTTGTTAAGGAGGGGAGGAAACCAGGCAGACAAAATAAATATCATAAATAAATGCAGTCTTAGAAAAGAGAAAGACTAACTGGGTCTAAACTGATTTTAATTATGACTTAAATATGGGTTGTAAATTTATACGTTGTACTTAAATTAATTCTCTAAAAATTAAATCCTCCTGATCAGTGTAAAGAGGGGATGTAACTTAAAGCAAAAAGGCTAATATATTTGTTAATCTTCCAAAAATATAAACTTAATTTTAAAATAGAATCATGACGAAAAATCTCACTTCACAAGGAATTCAATTAAAGTAATGTCCGTATACAGAATGTACATTAAAATAACAAAAACACAGAAATACAAACTTTTAAAGCTAGTAATCAAAATAAAGAGACACTGATGATCTGTGTACTGGGTATCAGTATATTGGATCATATCAGCAGGAGCAGTTCGTGCCCCCCTTTGCTGACTACTTGTACTAAAAAGTTATTTTTATCAGTAAATTACTGGTAACCTCCTTGTATATTAACATAAAAAGAGATCAGCATAATGTTTTGCAGGTTAATTCTACCACCAGGCACATAATTGTCTTGTTTAAGATGTCTTCAGGAGTAAATGAAGTAACAGCATCATAAAAAATCATTAATTAAAAATTGCATACTTTTGTCATGTCTGTATTGGCTTGGTGTCTTGTTTTATATTTATGTTCATTAGGAGTCCCCATAGGGGAATACTATTGTTTTTGGTAGTATTATTATTGTACCACCAGCGTTAGCGCTGGCGGTACACATGGTTTTGGTCTCGTCCGGATCGTTCCGCCGGCTCCGCCGGANGTTTTTTCATAAAAGGCACTACATTTTTGGCCTTCTGTTAGATCCACATGATTGCATGACTGATTCATCTTAAAGTCCAGAATTAAGAATGTCATCCAAATTGCATTTTGGCTCTTTGTAAAGGATTTACTTTTAAAAGATCACTATTGCAGAGTATACCACTGGCAAAATATTTGACTCTCTTGCACACAAACACATTCACAAATGATAGCAATGTTTCCCCTTTTTGGATGTTAATGAAGTTAAGTGTTTCAACATTTTCTTTGATTCAGATGAGTGTTTCAGTGTGCGTCCGGACGGTTCAGAAGACAATCGTAAAATAGGAGCTCGGGGTAGCATGTGTTACTTACACATATCACAGTGGGGGGTGACTTTAGCACTTCAAGTAAGATATTAGCCCAGGATATAATAATAATAATAATTTATTTGCTAAAATCGCAACCCAAAGGTTGAAGTTTTACAATGTGTCATAAATAATAGCATGTGTTACTTACACATATCACAGTGGGGGGTGACTTTAGCACTTCAGGTGGGTACAGACAATTCCTCTTTTAAAGTTATTCAAAAATTTCCACAAAACTGTTGTTGGTAACTCTTAAAAATAATGATTTAGTATGTATGAAAAGTTAGTTTGCTTTGTGTTTGAAAGTACATGTTTATGATTAATCATGAAAAAATAAATTGTTAGAATAAGTGATTTTCAAAAAGAAATTTAAGGTAAGCTAACCACCCTAATTTTAACCATACACTCAGTGTTATACTCAAGGTAATTAACCTGACAACATCCCAGTCATTATGTTCCAGGTATCCAGAAGTATTTTAGCCCAGTGGCCACTGTCCTGCATCCGTTGCTATGAGTGCCTGACCAACAGCAAATTCTCCATAGAAACTGGGCGCCGGTCACCCATGGGTCAAGGTCATTATGTGTTCAGCACAAGACCAGGCCTTGACCACTCCATGTATGAAATACTTGACCAGTTTGTAATGAAGGCCGCCGGACTTCTAGAGGTGAGGTTAAATATTAGTTTCTGTTCCTTTATGTTTTATTATTGTGTTTGGTAATATGATTGTTTATAATTGATATAGCAGGAATTTGGAGTTAAATGGTATAAAATGAAACTAAAATGATACTAAGTTTCAAATTTAATTTAATATTTTGAATTAGAAATTTATTGATAATTTGGAAAAAAAATGAATTTTGACATATTTCAGAGAAAACGCATGAAACTTTGCTCAAGCTAACATTTAAATATTATGAATGACTTAATTTATTATGGGTTAAGAAAAACCAATTATTTGAACTTAATTGGGAAGTTTGACTTTATACAATTAAATTCAAGATCAAAGTTGCAGAAAAATATCAGCTTCATATATTAAATTTATGAGTCACAACTTAATGGTGGAATCTTAGTAATCTAAGATTTAAACCTGGAATTTTTGAATTTTGAAAGTTGGCCAGATAATTTTTAAGAATGAACATTTTTTCAGGATTGCCCCATAATAACCAAATGGTAATATTGCTTTATTAAAAGTTTGCAGCATTGAATAAAAATGATTGCTTCAGGTGGATAGTTTTTATTTCTAGCATATGTAGGTGTTCTTTGTTTCAAGGGGATGTAATTAATTTTAAATATAATAGAACAAGAAAGGAAAAATGGAGTCAAGGTATGAAAATCGTTATGGACCAATCCATAGGTAACCAGTAGCAGGGACACAGGGCAAGGGGGGGGGGGGGGGGGGAGCAAGCATTACTGAGAAGATCTTTTAACTTTATTTTAAAAAAAGAGAATTTAAAATGGATATTAAAAAAGACTAGTTAGAGAATAAATGAAGCTGTATCAGAGAGAGGGAGAGAGAGAGGGAGAGGGAGAGAGAGAGAGAGGGTATGATGGGGAAATTACTTCATTGTGAAAAATATACATCTTACAATCGTCGGGTCTCATCACATGATGGATTCATAAACTATGGACAAGTTTTGTCAGATCTTGTTAAGGAGGGGAGGAAACCAGGCAGACAAAATAAATATCATAAATAAATGCAGTCTTAGAAAAGAGTAAGACTAACTGGGTCCAGACTGATTTTAATTATGACTTAAATATGGGTTGTAAATTTATACGTTGTAGTTAAATTAATTCTCTAAAAATTAAAATCCTCCTGATCAGTGTAAGGAGGGGATGTAACTTGAAGCAAGAAGGCTGATATATTTGTTAATCTTCCAAAAATATAAACTAAATTTTAAAATAGAATCATGATGAAAAATCTCACTTTGCAAGGAATTCAATTTAAAGTAATGTCCGTATACACAATGTACATTAAAATAACAAAAACACAGAGTAGTAACAAACTTTTAAAGCTAGTAATCAAGATTAAGAGACAGTGATGATCTATGTACTGGATATCAGTATATTGGATCATATCAGCAGGAGCAGTAGGTGCCCCCCTTTGCTGACCACTTGTACTAAAAAGTTATTTTCATCAGTAAATTACTGGTAACCTCCTTGTATGTTAACATAAAAAGAGATCAGCATAACATTTTGCAGATTAATTCTACCACCAGGCGCATAATTGTCTTGTTTAAGATGTCTTCAGGAGTAAGTGAAGTAACAGCTTGATAAAAAATCATTAATTAAAAATTGCATACTTTTGTCATGTCTATATTGGCTTGGTGTCTTGTTTTTATATTTATATTCATATTTATTTTCTTTTTGAGATTACTTAAACATTATATTCTGAAAAATATTAAGTGACAGTAATAAAAGTTATCTATATGAGAGGTCATTCCACTGTGTTCCAGGAGAGTCCAGAGATTGTGGTCAGTGAGGTTGAGAGACAGATGGTCAGTGAGTACGACCACCTTCATCTGTTGACCAGTGTCCACTGTGATGGCATGTTTAGTAAACAGCTTCATAGAATCTCCAGAGATAACTACGACCATCTGGTACTCAGGAACAGAGGTATGCTTCTGCTTTCATGACAACATACATGTACATGCATGCAGGCGCACACACACACACACACACACACACACACACACACATACACACACACACACACACACACACAGATAACTACGACCATCTGGTACTCAGGAACAGAGGTATGTTACTGCTTTCATGACAACATACATGTGCATGCACGCGCATGCGCACACACACACACAGATAACAACGACCAACTGGTACTCAAGAACAGAGGTACGCTATTGCTTTCATGACAACATACATGTGCATGCAGGCACGCACAACTGCACTTTAGAATTCTACTTTCTCTTTTATGACTTTATTTCTGACAGCTAAAAATGGATCTCCACACGGAAATTAAATTTATATTTCAGTAATAGATAATTGTGTATTACGTTATAGGCTAGGATTTCTGTAAAATTACTCTTAATGTTTTGCAGATTTAGGCAGCAAAAACACAACCAAAAAGAAAAGCGAAGTGCCAGAAATACCACAGGAAGACACCATGTAAGATAAATACTGTTTGCTTTTTCTGTTTTAATTTTATTGGATTATTTTCAGTTGAACAAGATTTTTTAAGGCATTTGATCTTTGTTGTGTGACTTATATGTAGATATTATATCAGACACAATTTCTTTAGCTATTAATGCAGACTTTCTTCAAACCACCAACATTTAGCTAATGCTAGCACCTGAAAGTTTTGCCAAATACTGTGATATTAGATTTTGATGGTGAAAATATTGTTGTTCATTTTTCAGATCAACAAGCAGTTCCCAAGAGTACCGTGAGCCATCTCCACTAGGTGGCAGCACCAGCAAGCCAGACCTGATCCAAAGTCCATCCCATAATGCATCAGTCTCAGGAGCCAGGGTTCCCTCTTCCAGTCGCCTGCCACCACAGGGGTCCTTGAGCATCCCCAGGGTAAGGGAAGACAGCTCCCTGGGGGCCACAGGGGGTGAAGAACCCAGAATGATCCCAGGACGTCCACCCACCGTCAGGAAGTATCCCACAATGCACAGCTCCAACAGTGAATGTAGCGATCTTGGACCTGATCAGTACCTGTCGTTTTCCCCCTCAGCTGGACATCCGTCCCCTACCACCCCTGGATCTGAAGACTTCATGTCACCCCCGCCCAGTTTTAGTGAGGTGTCCCAGTACAGTTACAGCTTCTCACCTGAAACGACAGGTTTTATTAATGAGACATATCAGAATGAGTCTCAGGAACAAGCTAAGGATCAGAGAGGGGGGCACAATCCCTCTCCAACTTCCAGTTACACTAGCAGTGCCCAGAAATCTGCTCCTGAAGCCAGTGAAAATATCATGTCCCAAAAATTGGCTCCTTTGAATCAAAAAGTCAGTACAAAAATTCAAAATGATGATGATCGTCACAATGTGATTCCTGATGAATATTTGACTCCTGGCGGCCAGGAGAACTCCCAGAGAGGATTAAAAAGTTTCCAGTCACAGACCACACAGGACTCATCACATGACTATTTAATGGCTAGTAGTGGTCATCAGGAAGACTCAATGCCAAGGTCAAAAGGCCAGGAGTACTTAATGCAAGGGTCAAAAGGTCAGGAGTACTTAATGCCAGGGTCAAGAGGTCAGGAGTACTTAATGCCAGGGTCAAAAGGTCAGGCGTACTTAATGCCCAAGTCAGAGGGTCAGCTGGATACGTATTTGTTGGCAGGTTCTGAGGGTCCAGGAGGTCAACATGTGGAGTATATGTTACCAGCCCCAGGTACAGCTGATAGATGTGAATACCTGGCAATGCACTCAAATGACCCCACTGCTCATAGTTACAGTAAACAAGATTACCTGAATTTAACAGCAGAGAATGATGGTGGCTATGGAGCTCCAGTGACTGCAGAAGATTATCTTTTGGCGACAGATTTTCATTACATGAGTCCCCAGTCCCGACCTCGCTCCCTTAGTACAGATGATCTGACAGCTTACGGAAACCAAGAGGCAAATTCTGCAGAACTTGTCACCAAGACCCAACCTGGATATGGCTCTAAACCCCCACAGCAGACACAAACTGTGCTGGAACTCAAGAAGATGTTTTCACTCAAGAAGTCAACATCAAATCCCAGTTTAGGAGAGATAGACTTCTCTCAGCTTCCAAACTCTGAGAATGTTCATGCTGAGCCCAATATGGCATCTGTGAAGCCTGCAAGTCGCTTTCCACCACATCCCAGCCGAAAAAGTCCCAAAGCCAAAGACTCTGACATTGTTCCCTCTGCTCAGTCCAAATCTTTTAAGAAACCAACTCCTGGTTCAATAGCCAATCAGATGCCTGGATTTTCACCCAATCAGACGCCTTCAAATTTCAGTAATATTTACCCCAGTCACATGGCCCCTACAACTAACATTGGGGAAACTTTGTGCTGATACCTGGATTTGGAGAAAATGACTAGAAAACATATATAATTGTGAAATCAAACTGAAAATTTGCTGAAATATTCTTTTTGTATTTTATTAGAAGAGACACAATGCTTGAGTACCTAGGCAGATTATTTAATAATGATATGCTTATATGACTGGTTTAGATGATCAAGTTTGTTTCTAAAAAAAATCCCCAATTCACCCCTGATAGATGATGTGAAACCAAGTTTACTCCTAAAATCACAGGGATGGGAACTGACAGTAACTATGCAACACAAATAGAGACAAATTTGTGTTTTATATATATATATATTTGTGATAATAATTTGATAATTTTATATGTATAATCTATAGTTATTATATTAATGTATTAAATATATATATTATAGTATATTTTATATAATGGTTTTCATAGTTTAAGGTTCATGCAAGCTTCACTTTTAGCAATGATATTTGAAGGAGACTGTTGATTTATTTTCTAGGTTTGTCAACTTTTTCTTTTAAGTTTATTTTCTTTTTTTTTTTTTTCTTTTTCATTTTCTGAAATTACTTAATTGCCTCTGAAAGTAATACATAATCTTTGCTTCCTCACATTTTTACCTGTATTCTATTTACCTGTATTCTATCAACAATTGAGATGTGAATAATTTAGATCCTGTATCTTCTCCACACGTCACTCCCACAATGTTGGTATGAGTGGTATTTTTCCAATTTTTGCCAACTATTATTCTGATCTGGTGCTAAATAATGAATTTTACTTAAATTGAGGTTATCATGTTTAGCTTGATTTAATTTTTTTTTCAGTATTCAAGATTTTCAGAAAAATAAGAATTTGAAGTGCAATTCCACTGTTTTCATGTCAGTGTCTTTATAAAAACAGATCATTTTAGAAGTTATAAGTTTTTAAAGTTTCCAATGGATGACAAATGTGGGCATATTTATTACTCCATGTTCCAAACAAGTGGAAATTGTATCAAAAGTCAGTGAATATACAGTTTTTTTAGCTGGCTTGCTACATTTCTACTTTACTGTGGACAATTAAGAGCTTNGGCGGTATCGCCTCTCTGATCCTCTAGTTATTATTATTATTATTATTCTTTCGACGCGTTTTTTTTCACAAAAAATCTGAAATAATTGTCATAGGTAGCCTATGGCAAGAATATGCTACAGAACCAGTTTCAGTGTCCTTGACCTACTTTTCAAGGTCACAGGGGCTTTTAAAGGCAAATTTTGTAAAATTTGAAATTACCATTAGGCCTAAAGTATAAGCCATATGGCTAAGGGCCTTATGGCCAGTGATACTGAGGTGAATCCACAGATAATGACCTACTTTTATGCAATTAGGTCAAGGTCAAGGTCGCTAATGGCCAAACGGGCTCAAAAAAGGTTTGTTTCTGAGATCTCAAAAACCGGAAGGCCCAGAGCCCCAATCATAGTGGCAAATGATTCTTTCAGAATATGGGGTCAAATTTAACCCGTGACCTTCACATGACCTTGTAAGAGCTTTTCCACACCTTTTTTGCAGGGGAATCCTCCGCCACTGGCTTTAGCCAGTTGCAGTCTAGTGTGTTAACCATAAGCAAGCTTCTTTGAACTGGTATTATTGAAGACTTGATTGTTTAAGATGTCTACTTTTGTTGAAAATAGATGTAGGTTTATACTTAGAACTACTTATTCGAGAAAAATGAAGATATTATAAACAGTGTCTTTTGACCTCATATGTCATATTGTTTTAAAGTGTTTTTTCAAATTCTTTTCATTCTTTGCTGCTGTAGCTGTAATAATCTTTTTTCTGTTCACAGTTTTCTGTATGTTTGATTTTGTTTAAAGGAATCAATAATAAATGTTTTTATACAGGGCTTTTATCATTTAATGTTGCTGAGATAAAAAAATGTCTATTGGATAGTATGTCATAGCAATGTCATGTCATAGCTTGTTTAAAATGGAAATGTTTCAAACATGGGTGCTATTTATTATTATTTTTTTTAATCCCTTCCACTTGAACAAATTTTATATGCTTTCATTTGCTATATCTGTCACTGTGTTAAAATTATAACAATCATTTTTGACAATGCTGAGAGTCAGTGGCCACAGTGACAACATGGACTCACACAGGCATATATGATGACTACCAGTATAATAACTGAAATGTGTTTACTTTTAGATATAAAGAAAAGAATGTATTATCAGAATAATCTGGTAATCCATGTTTGTCATTGATATAGGAGGAATTTGGAATTAAGTGGTATAAAATTTAACATATAAAAGAGGAAATTCATTGATACATTAAAAAATTAAATAAAAAAAGCATTGTGAGATTTTTGGGATAAAATGCAAGAAGCTCTGCTCAAACTAGCATACAAATTTTCTGAAAGACTAAATTTAATATGAATATATAACCAAATATTTTATACACAAACACTGTATATGTTTGCATATATTTGGATTTCTATCTCATCACTGCTGGACAATTCTGTTGTCTTTTTGATAGGGCAGGATTTTTTTAAAGTTCTTGCATTATCTATAAGAATTCAAATAAAGCTGAGACGGAAAATTCATTGGATATTCATTTTAATCTGTTTTTTGTGAAAAGTGGCCAGGTAATTTTTAAGAAAATATATTTCAGGGTTGCCCCATAATTCCTAAATGGTAATTGCAACAGGGTATAAAATATAATTGTATTCAGGTAGATAGTTCCAGACCTTTTTCTAACATGTCTGTATTAGGGAGGTGAAGTCATTCTAAATATGACACTACAACTGAAGAAAAATAGAGTAGAGTAATGTATAGAACGTTATTATTGTCCAGTCTATAGGTAACCAGTGGCAGGGAGACGGGGGGGGGGGGGGGGGGGGGGCTTACCTAGAAGATCTTACCCTTTTATTTTTAAGGAAATAAAAATTTAAATGGATACTAAAAAAGACCATTAAAAGAGTAAATGAAGCTATATCACAGTGAGAGGGAGAGAGAGATAACTTTGGGATAATATTAATTGGTGAAAACAGGGTAAGGTGGAGAAATTACTTCATTGTGAAAACTATGCATTTTCCAATTCTCTGAACTTATCATATGATGAAATTATAAACAATGGACAAGTTTTATCAGATTTGTGTCAAGGAGGGTCAGAAATCACGCAGACAAATTATATTTCAAATTGCATTCCAACGAAAGACTAAGACTAACTGGGTCTAGACTGATTTTAATTATGACTTACATAAATATGGGTTGTAAACCCAGCAGGCATAGTTGCGTTGGATCAACATTGAAAACAGGTTGATACATTGAATTGCCGTTGATCTACCTCAATTTAACATAAAATCAACGTTGATCCAGCCACGAGGAACACCGTCATAATGTGACGTTGACTCAACGTTGTATTTTGGTCATTGACACAACCTTGCAGACATGGATTATATTTTAAAATATTAATTGTTGAAAACGTGATACTTTGTTTATCAATACTGTAACTAACTTTATCAAAATAATCAAAAAAAGTGTTAAAAGTAAAAGTGACAGTTGTTTTGTGTCTTTAGTGAACTGGTGAATTTTCTTAGCTTGTTATTCAGAAATACATTCCAATAAACTGCATTCCTTGCAAAGTCAGTTAACACAAGGATGAATAAGTTGCTGTAAGNCACACACTTAACTATTGCTAGGCTTCTTTGAACAGGTATCATTGATGACTTGATTGTTTAAGAGGTCTACTTTTGTTGGAAATACATAGAAGGTTTAAGAACTACTTATGTATTCAAGAAAAATGAAGATATGATATACAGTGTCTTTTGTCCTCATGAATATGTCATAATGTTTTAAAAGTTCTTTTTCACATCTTTTTTACTCATTGCCGCTTTAGCTCTAATAATCTTTTTTCTCTGTTCACAGTTTTCTGTACATTTTATTTTATTCAAATGATTTAATAATAAAAAAAAAATTATACTGGGCTTTTATCATGTAATGTTGCTGACATAAGAAATATTATGTAAACTCTGTGTTTATTGGACAGTATGTCATAACAAAAATGTTACTATGTACATGAAGCTGAACTCCGTTTTTCTTCTTGTTGGAGATTGAGACTCCTCCCAAAATATGTCCACAAAAGTTTTTTTAAGATGACATATTTTACTCAAAATGAAATAAAATGATTCACAAAGGTATGATAAAACATGTAAAGAGAAGAAAGGTGTTACACAGGCCCCCAGCCTGACAAGGTCTCTTTTGGTTATTTTATTGCATTTTAATTTTAAATTTTGCTTGTTTAAAATGGAAGTTTTTCAAACATTTCTGCTCTTAATTTAAAAAAATCCTTTAACTCGGACAAATTAGATGTGGTTCCCATTTTTCGATCTCTGTCATAAATATTTGTTAAAATTAAAACAATCATTTTTGACAGTGTTGAAAGTCAACGGCCACAGTGACAACATGGACTCCCACAGGCAATAAGAATATATGATGACCACCAGTATAACTGAAATGTGTTCACTTTTAGGTAAAAAGAAAAGAATGTCAAGGTGACCTCATCCTATCTACAATATGTCCACCCAGGTCTTCATCACCTTCCTATAACAACATTGGAAGGTATGATCTGTGACATTGGTTGTCCAGAGCAACGTAAAGAAGGCTCAGAACATAATTAAATACCCTGCTTTTCATGTAAGTGTGATACTTAAAACTAGCCTTTATATGTTATCTGTTTTAATACTGTCAGAGGAGTCAGTATGTCAATGGCGGTAAGAATTGTTTATCTGTGCATTTAGGACTAACATATCTGAGGTGGAAGGTTGAACGTGAAACAGATCAAGATCAACTGGTGTAAAGCTTTTGCTGGAGATGAGTGGTTAATGCAGTAGTTGAGATCATGCATTCATTGAAATAGGAGGATTATTGCATGCGATCTGTGGGCTCCAACTTATCATGGACTCTTGCTAGATGCAGATTTTATATAAGTTTTTGTGCCTTTTTGTTTTATTGTGATATCTGGTAATCCATGGAATTAAATGGTATAAAAT